AGTGGTAAAGGTTATGTTCGTTCTATTAATATAGGATGTGGCAATACTGCTTATGACTATTGTATTTTTGCTTCTGGTGGATTACATCGGTTTTATGTTGGTGGTAGTCCGTTTCCTCAACACTTAAAATTTCAATTATCATTAACACAAGCTTATTTTAATGTTGATGTTGTATGTCATACAGAATTACAAACCGATGTCATCAATACAAAAAATGCTACTGATGTTGATTTGGTCTTTAAAAGGGGTGATGTTGAATATATGAAGTTTGAAGGAACGCTACAAGCAGTGGAACTAACAAAAGGTGCTAAATCAAACACTTATGATAGTATAGGTAATGCTGATGTCAGTTTTAGAAGGAACACAATAGATTTTATGTATTTTAGAAATGGTAATGTAGAGGTGAATACAGGTATGTCATTACTTGCTGAAAGTGTTAATTTTGATGTAATTGATAGTGCCACTCCTACTGATGTAGTATTTAAAAGAGGTGGTGTGAATTTCTTTACATTAGATGGCACTAAAAATATTATTGATGTTTCAACAGGTAGGGCGTTGTCATCTCAATATATTTATGGATATTATTTTTACAATAGAAATTATGGTGCTGATATGGTTTTTCAAGGTAGTAATACAACAGATGATGGTTTAGTAGAATATATGAGATGCAGAAAAGCAAATGAAGATGTTAATTTTTCAAAAGACATATATGTCAATCAAGACAAAAGAGCATATTTTCATAAAGAAACAAGTAAAAATAGTTATATAGTTAATGAAAATACAGCAGGTGTTAATCATTTCAAGCTAATCAATGAAGACCCCAACGGGGATATAAGATTTGATGCTAATAACAGTATAAGACTTTTTGTTACACCATCAAAAGTTTCTGTTCCAGCACCTTATACCTTAGAAGGTGATTTAGTAGACACTTCACAAAAAAGATAAGAAATATGAAATTGAAAAAGCAGACTTCAATTTTACAAAGATCGTAAATAGCATTAAACCTCATACTTTCAAAATGAAAGAAGAAAAAGAAATGGGAATAACTAAAAGTCATATAGGTTTTATAGCAGAGGATGTGGAAGAAAATATACCAGAAAAAGTTGAAAATATACTCGTTGAAGTGGATGGCATTAAGAAATTACGTTATGTTAAAATGGGAAGTATCACTTGGGGAGCAGTCAGAGAAATAATCAAAGAAAATGAAGACTTGAAAAGCAAAGTTGAGCATTTAGAAACCCGCTTATTTGAAGTTGAAAATTTCATTAGAGATTTTGTTAAACCAAAACCAAACGCCAAAGCAAAATCAAAAACCTAAAGAAAATTAAAATATAATATAATGTATATATGGGAAATAAACAATCTACAGTAGAGAACGGTTGTATTCAAGAATTGAGTAAAATTAATGAAGAAGAGCTAGATATTAGTAGGATAGATAAATTACAAATAAAAGCCTTAAAAGAAATCAATAGCAACATTGAAAAACTGAATAAAGAAAAGCAAACAAAAATGATATATACTTTGCCAAAAATAGATGTCTGTAATTACAGCCTCTTTCAAATTAATAATATTATTATTTCAGTATAATATCACTAATTAATATGTATTTCGGCTTCAAGACGCACCATAAACATTTTATTAATATCACTTTCCCTTAACTTTACAAATAAGAATGAGTAAGGTTGAGCATCAACTGCTGTTCTGTAAATTTCCAGCATTGTCTTTTTGTCTATCAGGGCTGACTGTTCTTGAATAAATGTGTCCAGTTCTGCTTGATTTTTCAACTTGAAGATGTATAAACTGCTTGTATTTAATCTAACTATCGGTGCCAGTGCGTTCAGTTTTTGAGAAGAGGTTATGACTGACAGACCAAAATGTCTTGATTTTGTATATAGTCCGTGTAATATCTTAATATATCTCATAAAAACTCTATCCTCTGCCCAGTCATCAATTACTAACTAGCAACTATATATTATATAACTTGTTCATTTTATTTTTCTTCTGGTATTCTATCACTTTGTGTTGTGTGTCTATGATATGAGCAAGACTTTCGGGGTCATACTCATCAAATAAAAATTGCTCTTTTTTATTATCTACATTTATATAATTCTTTTTGTATATATTTTATTACTTCTTTGTAGGCTTCATCAATATGGGCTGTGGGGCTCACTATCCAAATACGTTCAAAGCACCCCCTGTAGATTTTTAGAATGAGGTTCTGAATTAATATACCCTTTCCACCCTGTGATGCCGATACAATGATGCTTCTGAATGGTAGTTTGTCTGCTTGTGGGTATGGGCTTTGTTTGAATTCATACTGTTTTACATTGATAGGTTCAATCTTAGGAACAGCAACAGAGTTGCTCTTACGACTTTCAGTCGGAACATCAAGTTTTTTCATATAAATTATTTAGAAAGTAATTTCTAATATTCATTGTAAATGGCATATCTTATTTTGCTTGAAATGGGGTCGCGAAATCTGGAACAGACTGCCATATTGACCATCATAAGAATGTTAATTAAAAATAAAAAATCCACCCTTGGCTCTTGCCTTGTTTCCCCGACACGGTCTCTTTTTGTCACAACAACAAGCAGTAGAAGATGTTGAAGCCTTTTTGCTCTTGAATTTGTTTGATGCTATGACTCAGTTTTGAACCGCTCAAGGGTACCCTGCAGTCGTACGGGCTATGTTACACTTCTCAGATTTGTGCGTGTCATCCGTGCCATGAAAAACTCACTCCGGTTGCCTTTCGTGCTGCACCACCGGGAGTTATGGCAGGCAATCCTTGCACTTCCTGAGTTCTACAAATGCCCTGGGTTCTCTGCCGTGTTGCAGATGAGTACAGCCATGGGCATGAAAACACTGGCCAGCCTTTGTGGCAACTACGGTCTCTGGAGTACGCACCTGCTGCATTTCACGTCGCAGCGAAGTGACATGCTCCTCAGCAGCTGCCAGCTTCTTCTTCATCTGCACCAGGTTGAAAGACTGCTTGTCGATGACCGCCATCAGCTTCTCAGGAGAGGTTGATGTTGGTCCCTTCGAATGGTGGTCGAAGAGACCAGGTGTCTTGTTTCCTCCCGAATCAGATGGCTTCTCTGACTCTGCCTGTTTCAGCGCCGTGTTCTCGGCTTTCAGCTTCTCGATCTCGGTCTTCAGCTCTTCGATCTCCGCCTTATCCGCCGCTGATTGAAGGCGATTCGTCTCCACCTGCTTGTTGAGGTCAGCCAAATTGCGATCCACCTGGTCCTTGTAGAAGTTGGCCGCATCGTTGGCTGATTCGTTGGCTCTCTTGTAGCCTCGAAGTTTCGTCTCCAAGTCTTCGATCTGTGCGGCATAGGTGTCAGCCTTGTTCTTGTAGTGGTCGGACTTGAGCTCCCACTCATTGCTGTCGGCTGTGGCTGTTTCTCACTCAGATTCAATCGTTGTTGAAGATGGATCGTCCTGTTCTGCTCACTGATCAGCTCCTCCTGCATGCATCGATTTCTCGCTGCATATTCACTGGCACATTGTTCCCAAGATTCTGCCTCTTTCTTCTTGTCCGCCAGCTCTTCCGAAGCTTCTTCATAAAGTCGCTTCCGATGGTTTACTGCCCGTCGGAGTTCGGCAGCTTCATCAACATCCATGGGCTGCGGTCCATCGTCGTCCGGCAGCTCGATCTTGACCTTGGTCTTCACGAAGAGGAAGTCACAGAGCTTGTTCTTGATGTGGTCAAAATCGCGGGCACATCGCTCAAAGCAAAGAGCCATCACCACGACCACAAAGATCATCACGTAGACCCCGAAGTATGTGGTGTAGTTCGGCACCGAAGAAGACGTCATGGCCGGTGCCAAGTCGTAGGTGAAGGGTTCACCGTGGGGCGCTTGAGCCATCGTGCCCACTGCAAACATAGATGCCACCATGATCTTCTGACTGAAGGTTGATGGAAACATGCCCAAGAGAATGGAGGCGTGTCCAACCTTTACCTGTTTCTTTCCAGATTTCACCTCCTCAAGGATCTCATCATCATCTTTCATCAAATCATGTTCATCATATTCATGTACTGCAGGAAGTGTGCGGCTGATCACTGCATGATTTGGTTCATTGCGAAAACGAACTGTTCCCGTGGTCAAAAGATTGAGCATGCTGTCATGAATCATTGGCTTTGTCAAAGAGTCGCTGGTCACCAGGAAGGGTTAAGAGGCATCACTATGTAGCCGGTGCCATATAAGCAGCCGGTGCCAAAAAAGCAGCCGGTGCCAAGTGTGACTTCCAGAGACATGTTGACACCAGCACTATAGTGCTGCCGGTGCCATGTTGCATGGCCATGCAAATTTCTTCAGTTTTCAGTTCATCTTCACACCATATTTGAGCCTTTCTTTTTTCTATCAAATTGGCAACATCTGATAAAATATTGTATGATTATCAATATTTCCAAACATGTTAATGAAATACGGAGCTTCGTGGACCCCCAAAATCCTGCATTAATAAGTTGGACAAGGGTGGATATCTAATTCGGATAGAAGGAACAACACATATAGTGTATACGGGTAATTTGGATGTCGATTTCCGAACGATATCCCCAAACCAAACCATTGAGATGTCAAACGTGTTCAGGAAAAACAGAGTTTCAGGGTCTTTTCTTCAAACCGAAGTATGACATAGATTGGACAAGGAATACACGAATTCCAAAAGGTGGAATAGCAGAATATATATACTTATACCCAAATCTTTTGGATGCAAATTTCCAAACGATGTTCCCAAACCAAACCCTTTTCGGCACCAATTTCCAAAGGTGTTTAGGAAACAAGTATACTGTATACTTGCTTAGCGTGGAATTGGGCCTCAACTGTTTCAGGGTCTTAGCTTGAAATTGAACTGTTCAACATTCCCAAAAATCACCAAAAGTTGGACGAGGGTGGATATCTAATTCCTTATATACTTCCTCAAAGCAAGCATTTTGGATGCCAAAGACCAAGCACCAGCGCACCCAGATCAAATCAAAATCTTCGATTTTGCTCGTTCACTCTGGTAACATCTGAGTCCAGCGAAGGGTCGCTGCAATTGAGTACCGAAACAGCACATGTCTAGAGACATATTTTGGACTTGCCTTAATGGCTAGTTGCTTTGAACGTCGGACAAAATCTTCGTCAAGATAGTTAGCCATATACCGCATGTTGGCTTTCCAAAAGTCGTATACCCCATGCTCCAAGCTATGGGACTTTGGCCGCTGCCTCCAGCGGGTCAACCCCTTTTCAAGGGATAAAACCCCCAGTTTAGAGCTGGCTGCTCTGTACAAGAGGTAGCATTGTTCAAGTTTTTCCCATTGGGAATTCGTATGAAATCGCGCCGACTCAAGCATCACCACTTCCATCTCAGCCAACCCAGCTGTTGCTCCAGCCCTGTACCTTAGCGCCAGAATGTAAATAGTTTTGAACGACATTAAATGTTAAAGGGTTCGGAAAAAAACATATCCGGACACAAACTGTTAAAATACATATGTATATAGTAATATGTAATTTATTTTGAAGGGATCTAAAAACCATGCCTATACAGATGGGGTTGGTGAGGTGAAACATTGAAAGGAAAAACATTTTTCAACAAAAACCAAAACCAACTCATTCGAGCGTTTCTTCTTGGGATTGGAACGATCCACAAATTCCAGTAGTAGTCTTTTTTGCGATGGGATATAAATCATGTTCTATTTTTTCTTGGCCGTGAAATATTATCCCAGTATTGGCGAATATTTGCGGTTATGAAATGAAACCTTGATAAAACAAATATCACCAATATTGATGGGGTTAAAGTAAAACAGGTTTGCAACGACCATTTTTCGGATGCACATGGATCCCCATTAATTGACCAACTTCATAAACAATGTGGTATATGTTAGATTATTTTTCTCCACATCTCCCGGTCCTGCGGTTAACATTTGCTCGCACCGATTGCCATGGATCAAGGTTGTATCAGGCCCTCCAACAATCCACATTAAATATTATGCATAATATTTTACCCTCAGAGGTGAACATATTTTTGTGGGTTTTTGGAGGGTCGAAGTAAACATATCTAAACAAACTGTTACTCTGATTGTTTCAGTTTTTGTCATGTTCAAACGCAACGATTCCAAATAGTATGGTGGTCCTGATCTGAAGAGTGTATACTGACCAAGTTGCATATCTGAATCAGCTTGGGACCACTCCGCAAATTGCTTGGCAATGGAGGAAATCCAAAAAAGCATATACCGGGCAGCACTAGCATTCAGCACCTTCTGTGATATTTCCGTGTACTGGCCATGATCTGGCTTCAAAACACTACTGGTAAACAACTTTCTTTGGGCCCTTTCACCCATGGGATAGCTTTGGGACTCACACCAAGAACGGTAGCTTTGCCACATTTCATTCAGTCGGCGGTCCCGTGAACCCCCAGCAAAATAGGAAGAATCATCCGACCAATCCAGTAGGCACGATGTGATCACATCCGGCGCCAATGCCAAGTGGGTGGTATGCATGACATCCGGGAAAATTCCTTGGCTGGGATATGGGGTGGCATTGAAACAGTTCGGGGAACCCGAAACCTTGTCGGAACTTTTTGGTCAAAATTCCGAAACTGAAAAAAATCTTTTTGGCTGGGGTTCGCCATGGGCTCCAACCAGGAATGTCAGTGAGGGGGCATTTCCCATTGATATCCAGCCATTCTTGCTTTGTGACCAGCCTTGACTGTCGGGCCCAATCATGCAAGAAACAAATGCCAAAATATGATAGTGTTCTTGGAGGTGTCCTTCATAAAAACAGTTTAAGACAGCTAATGGCACATATGTCCCTTATAAAGAAACATCAGGATAAAATATGAATATGTTGGTTGTTTTGGGGGGTGTCCCTCAACAAAAACAATTCAAGACAGCTAGGGCGCGTGTTCCTATGGGATGCTTGCGGTCCAAAATTGGTGTACAAGAACTGACAAAAACCTTCGTCATCTTCGACATAGACCCATTGACATGCTCTGCAGTAGTAACAGCAGAATTGCTTCGAATAGAAACCTGATATATTTGCAAAAATTATGCCATGCAAAAAGAAAGCTGACGTTTTGGGTGTAACCATGAACAGATCGCCAAAACAAAAAACAGCAAAAAATGGGCACCAATATTGTCTCCGAGGACGGGATGGGCTAAATAAAATTCTGATGAAATCTTGGTCACCCTGGATCCCTTCAAGAACTGATGTATAGCCATCGGCAATCCATTGCCCACTGAGTACCCACCGGGATTTACAATAGTCCTTCGAGAATGGTCTGTTCCAGGGATCATGAGACGGATATCGGCCAGTACCTGGGCCAACACCGGAGAAGCAACCAATTTGCAACAGAGAAATGATAACAGGTGTCAATCTGACCTCATGTCGCATTCTTTTGATACCCGGGTTGACATGTACATGTTGTTGCCATTAAATCTTAGGGCCCTTGAGTCCTGCCGCTACTTGGGAAAAGTGTGGGCTGCTGACGATTCCGTACCAAATTCACACAGGTATAATATGCATCCAAACTTTCTTTGCAGAACAAGCTGCATAGCGCTTGGAAACTCCAACAGATTACCTCCAGGATCAGCTGTCGGGACTTATCATTGCAGTATGTTCCGCTCATACAGGACATCCTAAGTGATGGTGGAAATGGGTGGAACTAGGGAAAACAAACCAATCATAACACCATGCATCTATTGTGGATGGAAGAAATCTCACACCACCTTGGATGGTTGAAACCTCATATAGGATATACCCCATTTATGATATCTTCCAACCAGTGATATACGCATTTCACATCAACGATTTCGGCCGGTGAAGCCACGGAGCAAGATCCTGTTGTCCATGGTGCTTGCACTTTTGCAAAGAGGCAGGATCAACGTGATGATCTCGAATTTGTGTTTTCCTTATAAAATGTCTTCTCCAACCATCAAGATAGTACAAGAACCACTTGGGCAGCTAGGACTGTAAAATAATGACAAGGTGCTGTAGCTCTCTGCACCGTCCCCAAATATCCGGAGGGGAATAACCCAATCAGATGACATCTCCTTAATCGGGTTCATAAGTATGGACTTGGACAAGTGGTGCTTGCATGTTCAGCCACAAATCGCCATTTGATTACTTCAGCCATGTCACGTGAAAAACTGGATGGTTCCGGTACCAATCAGAGGCCTGTTGTTGTGCCCAAAACCTCGACAGGTCCTTAGCAATCCCAGGGTTGAAACAGGTTGACAGATATTGTATCCACATATAAAATTGAACAGTTCAAGTTCTGAATGGGGTACATCAATATAAGTGAATGAAAAACATGCAGCCAAAGAACACCTGGGTCACCAAGTAATTTGGGCGTAAGATCGACATGTGGGAAACGATACATTGCTCCAACGATTTCGTGTGGGAGAAGCACAGCGTGTTTTCCAAAATATTCTTGTTCACCATGAGCGTCCTCATACCATATAGGAACATTGATCCTCATTGAGATTTGCACTCCCAGAAACTTTGTATATTTCAAACCAAGGGCAAAGGATAAAGAGAGTTGGGGTAAAGAATTCAAAACGAACTTCGCCATCGAAAGCAAGTGGCATGAATGGTTCTGGTAGAGCTTTTCCTGAGATCATTTGTGGATACAATGCAATAATATATCAAGGCCAATTCCATGCAATAATGCACCAACCTAAATTTGCATTAGAGGGGCGCCAGGGTTGAGCGTAGGCCCACCGCTCCAAGATACGGGAAGGGCCCCAACTACTTTGGCATCCATGCAGCGATGTGATCAGTTCGAGAATTGATTTCCTGGGCATCGAGAGCTGGATTGAGAGGCAAAGAAAAATGCCAACATTTTTAACCTCCAATCACAACAGTATTGGGCTTTTGTTTTTGTTTTGCCTCTCAACCTTGCTCGTAATTTTGTTGAACAAGATCAAGACAACTCCAATAAGATGTTATTATCTTTATAGTTGATACGGCTTTGTCTGAATATTGTTTGTAGATATATTTTCTGAATGAATCCTGGTTGGGCCTGAGTGTGTATATATATAAATATATGATGTGTGTGTAGGTATACACACTGCCATTCGCAAACCACCACATTTTTCCGAGGGGCGGAACCAAACAGTGAGGAAACTTTTCCAGTCGACCTATAGGCGACAGGCGACAGGACCACAACTAATTAGTGGGCAAAACGGTCGTCATTTCAACTAATGTTTCGGCCTAAAAAACACGTTCTGGAACCCCATGAAGATATGATTGATTTAACCATAGGTACTTAAAATGAATATATGTACCAGGTGTACTTGTGACTGCGAACATAAATCTTTTAAGGATTTGGCACAGAAGGGATCGTAGCCTTTTCATCTGAACCTGCAAGGTCAAAGTCACCGACTGGTATTTTGTGTAAATGTTCATATGTGGTACTTTCCAAAAATTTGTTCATAATGAAGACTACTGAATGCGAACCACTTGATGCAGCCATAAAGATTTGAATCATGGGTCTTTGAATCAGCGGGCCTCCCCATCACCCAACATCTCCAAGAACTCATGGACCAAACCACTAACAACAGCATGGAGGTCGGTGCTACTTTCAGCAGTTGTCATCCCTATTTGGGTAGCTGCGCCCCTGAAGCAAAATGGCCAATGGGGTTGAAATCGGATCATGCTCCATGGGGTGATCAATTACTGTGGGTCCTTTCTAGATAAGACGCTTTGAATATTGGGTTTAACTAGCTGCTTTGATTCTAGTGAAATTGCTCACCCCGTTGCTCATGCAGGCTCATGCAATCGCTTCTGGCATATGCGCACATAAGGCGCGGTGAACTTGAATTGATTTTCCACGTGGAAACGTTTCTCCCTGGGTGATTGGTCAAGACTCAGCAGCTAAAGAAAGGCACCATTTTTGGGGCAGGGTGCACACGCAACAGCGACCCGAGCAAAGCATACAAACTTTGGTGGGTAAAAAAATGTTTCAAATGAATAAAATGATGTTAATCCAAAGTTTTCCAACATTGGGCCAGTTGCCATAGATCATGATTGATCCTTACCCCTTGCATGGTGTGTGATGCGTTTTGCACACACATGTCTCCCAGCGGATCATTGCCCGCCCCAATCCTAAGGTACCCTGCATCTACTGTCAAAATTATAAATTTTGTCAACTTTGTTCTGATCAGCCTTCCGTGTCCCATTCATCCTCGGGGTACTCTTCGCCATCGATATCGGGATCCTCCTCGAACTCCTCTGGCCAATCCTCCGGCCACTCTGCATCGGCTTCCGGTTTGGCCGCAGGTGCCCATTCTTCCTTCACCTTCGGCTTTTTGGGGGCCGGTGCACCTTTGGCCTTAGCAGCTGCTTTTTCGTGCTTGCGCTTCTCGGCAGCTTTGCCTGGGCGTCGGTGGGAATTAGTAACTGTTGGGTTTAACAAGTATAGCTATGGGGTTGGTATCCATGATCTGGGGAAAATAGTACAAACAAAAAGCAGTGTTTAAAACCTTGTGTCATTCCAATATTTTGGTAAGTCTAAAGGGTTATAACTGGTTCCGTAATTTTATACTTATAGAACACCCATATAGTATCATTAAGGGTTTTGAAGGGTTTGAACACAGCTCATATGGGCATAAAAAGGGCGCCATTTGATTTATCCCAGGTGCTATACAACAATAAGATCAATTAAAAACCACACCATGGGGGTATGACGAATCATTCCATGAATCGGGGTATTGCAACTGCAACATTGGGGCCGATCGATGTGGATGGGGACCTGGTGGTAACCCGAGGGAAAACGTTTTATAGATTGATCCATGTATAAAAACATATACATATATATATATGATATTAAAAAACATGTATCTATATGACTTCTCTACACATATATGTGTGTAAATATATATACATATGTATGTATTCAAATACATTATAACAGTGTATATATATATATATTATGTATGCTTCAATTGGCGGAAGCCACCAAAAAGATGGGATCCCATGTGTATCGATAAATCCTCTTTGTGCCCACATGGATTTGCAGTTTACGGGCAAATCCCAGACATCGAAAGTTTTTGGGATGATTTTTTTTTGAGAGAATTTTTTTGGGTATATTGGATCCCCCATTTTACTTGGAGGTACCAGCACATGTGGTGATCACAGCCATAGCTCCTTTTATCAAAAATATTGTGGTGTCTTCCCCCTTTTATATATATATATATAGGACGCCCTGGGCGCCACACGTCGCATGTGGCTGTCAACGAGGGAATTGGCAGCTTGCACTCGCTCAACTGAATCCTGGCAAGATCGATTCAAGAGGGGTTGGGCATATCTCAAATCCAACATAACATACCTCATATTTTCAGTCATTGTATGGAGGGAATTTTTGGCTGACATCAGTGTTTGGATTTGATGGGTTCAATGAAAACTGATTTACTGATGCAAAGCCCGTTTGTTTCTATACTTGGGATTTTTTGGTTTATCAAAGGTTTATGAATCATCATGAGCATCAGGCCTCCAGCACAGATTCTTTGGCTTCCAACAGCTTCGAATAGGAGTCAAAAGGCTCGGCCTTGAAGATCATATCTGAAATCCTAAGGGCGCAAATAAAGAATTGTCCCAAAATTTGATGGGTCGTGGGAAAACAAATGGGGGCCCGACTTTTCCACCAGTGCTGTGAGGTCCTTGTAGGTTGCCCCCAACTGTGCAATGATCGCCTGAAGGTTTGGATCGGCGTAATATGCACCAATTGGGCAAACCAGGCATAATAAGTTGAATACTTTTCCCCTCATGAAAGACAGATCGATTGGGGCTAAACCGCCTCCTGGTGAGGGATTCCACTTGACTTTAAGCTTTCAGCTGCAGCGCGGGCATTCGAAGCCAACTTGCCACACCTTGCACAACAAACAATAGGTAGTGGAAATATGTTCCACACAAGGTAATTAAAGTAAACCACGCATGCATGCATGCATGCATGCATGGACACATTCCCGTTGAACACAGCAGTATCGGGTTGTTTGTAACTTGTATGCCATTCAAATTCCGACTGCATACAACAATCGGTGTATCAGCTGGTATAAGGTCAAAAGAATATATACGTATATACGGTTGTTTACATATGCCCCATTGTTTGGCTACTAACTGTCAAATTAAAGGACTTGGTTCAAATTTGACCTTATACCCTGGAATCAGACCCACAAATATGGGCCCCCAACGCTTCCAGTTTGGCTTTGAACTCCTTCTTCTTCCGGTCATCCTCGCTCAGCTCCTTAGCAGCCTGGCAGCGAAGGAATGGCTGGTGGGATGTGGCTTCGATGTGGTGGGATCGATCTGGCTGCAAGTTCGCTGGCAATGGTCAATAAGGACCCGGGAGGGCAAGGCTGGTTTCACAAAAATGGGATAAATCAATAGAAGCTGCATAAACCCCAGCCTTCCGAGTACTGGTACTTTTTGTCTTCCCTCCGGCTTTTCCAGTCTTAGTCTTTCCTTTGGAACCCTTGCCCGAGTCTGCAGACGGGGCCCCTTTCCGACTGAACTCGGCTGCCCGTCCCACAAGAGTGTCTGCAATTGCAGCTCTGGCCGCTTTGTTGGCGGGAACTGATCCTTTTCCAGTGACCTTTGTTCCAACTTCTCGGCTTTGCTTACTCACCCCAGACCCCTCTCGGAACACCCAGTAAAGGCGCATTTCCGTGTCCTCCCCCGTGAAGTCTTGGGGGTGACAACGGCCTGCCTGGACATTGATAATTTTTTCCTGTAAGAAGCGCTGTTCCGCTTCCGAAGTAAATTCCTGCCTCAGCTGGCACAGGGGCAATTCCACCCACTTTGCTTTGTCCTCTTCTTTTGACATCTCCGCGTAGCTTGCCTCAATAGTCATTTCTGCCATCGACACTGGGTCGAGCATAAATGCCTTAAGCAAGGCAAATTTCTCATCAGCAGTCACCGCATTTTGATACTTTTGCAAAAGGCCTGGGCGAAGACCTGCCATGGCCGGAAACAATAATAAAAAGAATAAATAGAACATGTTGAACAGGTCATCTATAGATCCATATATTTGTCTACATTATATATATATATATACATACATTTCTTTTATTTATACAATAGCTGTAAATATAAATATTATATACGTATGTAATTGCCATATACATCTCAAGATTTGGTTACCTAAAAGTGGGCGATCCCAACCTCCTTGTTGCATACGACGACGAAGAGCTTCCCGTTGACGTTTTCGTTCGTCAGGGGGCAGCTCATCAATCGAGGTCATCGCCTGCACGAGCATGCACTGGGGAAACCCGTTTTTTCTTGGGAATTGTTGAATTTCAGACTTGATTAGCAAGCCTTGATTCGGTCCTTATCTTCATCTTTCAGCAATTTCACCTAAGCTGGTTATATTGATAAAGGTTGGATAGACAACAAAAATCACAGAGTAAACCAGAGGCCGATGAATGAATAAACAAACTGAACAAATAGATAGATAGATAGATATATATATATATCTATCTATCTATTCTATCTATTCTATCTATCTATCTATCTATCTATCTATCTATCTATCTACGTATCTATCTATCTATCTATCTATCTATCTATCTATCTATCTATCTATCTATCTATCTATCTATCTATCTATCTATCTATCTATCTATCTATCTATCTATCTATCTATGTAATATATAAGGCCCTGGCCCGTCTTGTTTTCCCGGTGGCATCAACAAGGGGAGTCATTGGCACATCTCCGGTACCATCGCTCATCACCGATGTACTTCGCCGTAAGATACCTGCAGGCCTTAGCACAAACACATATGAAACCCACTTATCTTTTACAAGGCACGCACCCGTATAAAAACAGCACACATATGTTTTATTCAATATAAATATATTATGTTGAATCAGAACTGAGAAAATGACTGTGCCGTTTTCTCTTCACTGGATCCTTGCATGGGGACACACCATAAAAGGCACGATCTTGCTAGCAGGGTTTAAGAACACACACGCACACACAGGATATTGTCCTGCAGCTGCATCAAGATCTAGACGCTTCTTGCACTCCGGGGTGACAGCAGGTGGTGATGAAGAGGCCGAAGTCGGTGGGGATGGCAAAGGTGTGCCTGTTCCCTCAGGCGGTGTGGTGGCAGGCATGGCAGGCGAGGTGGAAACTTCACCTAGGTCTGGGTTCGAGAACTTCTTCCAGTAGTTCTTGTATGCATTCTGCTGGTCAGGTGTGAGTTTGGGCAAGGCATCGTCAGGCACCTTTGAAGTAGAAGTTGCATCATCACTGACATCGGGTCTGGGTACGGAGGCCTTTGCTGAACCAGGTTCTGCAGGTGCAGACCCCTTGCCCTTACCCCTTGCAGGTTTAGGCGCTGCCTTTGCAGGTTCTGCAGGTTCAGACGTAGCAACTGAAAGAGGGCTGGGGGAGGTTCGTTTCTCTGAAATTTCCATCTTTTTGAGCCAGTTGTCGAACTCAACCAAGTCATCCCGACCACCAGCCCCAAAGTTTGTTTTGTGGAACTTGGAAACAAACTGGTCGTAGTATGGGTGTGCCGTGGCAACCTTCAAATTCTTTACCACAGCTGGGCCATCCAAAGTCTTGACCCATGCCTTGACCTTGGATTCATGCTCACTGAGGATCTGAATAGGTAACTTGCCACGATCATCCTCAGTCATCCCACCAAACCCACTGGCCAGTGTAGGGGGGAGTGGTGCACTGGTTGCGGTCTCCTTTGGTGCAGGCTTCTCAGGCATGGTAGCCCCCGGCTCTTCCGTCTTCTGGTCATCTTTCGGGCTGTCCTTATATAGGGTCTATAGGACACTGAAAACGAGCATGGGGGAAAAATATAAAGAGATTTGACAATCATCCAACAAAACCAACCATCACAATTAAGTTGTTCAATCAAGATTCGGTTCGTGCAGGAGTGGTGGTGGTCTTTGGGGTCTCATCTTTCGAAGCTTCCTTGCCCTCGCCCTTCTTTCCCAAAGGTTTCCCCTTTCCCTTGAAAGGTTTCCCCTTTCCCTTATCAGGTGTAGGGAACGGTTTGCCCTTTCCCTTATCAGGTGTAGGGAACGGTTTCCCCTTTCCCTTATCAGGCGTAGGGAAAGGTTTGCCCTTTCCCTTAAGGTCAGGTGTAAGGCTCTTGCCATCTCTGGACCCCTTGGTTTCCGATCCTTTGGATGCCTTTCCTTTCAGCCCTTTGTCAAAGGCACCTGGAGAACCCTTTTGAAGGTCCTTTGATTTGCCAGCACCCTGGCCCTTCGACGGGTAGCCCATGGCCACTAGATCAGCCGGTATAGGCCACTCAGAAAAAAAAGACTAATCCTTGAATCCAAATGTATACACAACGACGGTCAATTTCCAATCAAGTAATGTGGTATGACAGGTTGCCCAACTTTATAGTCCGTCCGTACCACAGCTGGCAAAGAACGCAAACTGACACGAAAAAGAAACGCAAATAATCTGGAAAATTGGTAAACTATTTTTCCAAAATTGACTGGCCCAGTGACACGACTTGACACGAATTCATGTCTTATATGGTTCCGTTGGCACGAGTTGACACGAAATGACACGAAACTTGGGGAGGGGGGGCATCCAAAAAAAAACCACACCGGTGACACGAGTTGACACGAAATGACACGAATTCATGTCTCATATGGTTCCGTTGGCACGAATTGACACGAAATGACACGAAACTTGGGGAGCGGGGGCATCCAAAAAAAAGCCACACCGGTGACACGAGTTGACACGAAATGACACGAATTCATGTCTCATATGGTTCCGTTGGCACGAATTGACACGAAATGACACGGAACTTGGGGAGGGGGGACGTCCCAAAAAAAGCCACACCGGTGACACGAGTTGACACGAAATGACACGAATTCATGTCTCATATGGTTCCGTTGGCACGAATTGACACGAAATGACACGGAACTTGGGGAGGGGGGATGTCCCAAAAAAAGCCACACCGGTGACACGAGTTGACACGAAATGACACGAATTCATGTCTCATATGGTTCCGTTGGCACGAATTGACAAGAAATGACACGGAACTTGGGGAGGTGGGGCAGCCCTTAAAAGCCACACCGGTGACACACGCAACACGAAATGTACACGAATTCATTTCATATATCGTTGACACGAAAATACACGAAACGGAACGTACTGGGGGTAGCGTGGGTGGGGGGTGGGGTGGTGTATACAAAAAAGTCACACGGTAAAATGAGCCGACGTTAATATTGATTTTTGGTTATATATATATTGTCTGTTCGTATGGCTTCTATATGATTCGTTTCAAGTCGTGTCAGGTCGAAAGATCTTGGGAGTCGAAAGATGATATTTTCCCACTTGCAGCTACTGCGTATATCGGACAAAACACTGTATATCTCAAAGGCGCCTGATGGATGGGTTTCCCATAAACAAAACAGTCTATTGTTGTGGATATATATATATATTTATATTTACAAATGATCTTTTGTTGGTTTCCCCTCTCCCATCTCACAGGCATGAGCCACGAAGTGTTAAAAATCCAATTAGCCCTAATGGTTCTGGATGCCTTCCAGCCCCGAGTCATCGGACTCATGGCCATCCAAATCCTGGAAAGCCAAACCTTGGTCCGGCAGGACCACGTGTTGCGATTCCGGGATGGTGTCAAAGTGCTCCTTCAGCGCTTGGCCAACCTGGGCTGCATGGCGTCGATGGATCAAATCGATGGGGCTTTCTATCAATATATATATATATATATATACATATATATATATATATAAATATACAAATTATATTGGCTTAAAGCACGTGAATAAACGTATTCATATTTAAATACATTTTCTGATTTATATATATATATATATTTTTTTTAAGTATATATGTAGAAAAATACAGACATGTATATATATATATATATACGTATAAGTAGAACAATATTTATATATATATAAATACATTATATGTGGGTTGACGATATTCAATCTATACTATCAATTGTGGCAGGAAAGCAGTATCCAATTTATCATTCTATGGGTAAACCCCAATTGGTTGGACCAAGTCTTTGTCAGGTATACCTGCACTTTCGTGCGTTTAAGAAATTCAAAAACCGGCCTTTCAAATTGTTTGGGAAACCGCCAGCACAGAAAAACATATCCACATAACTATTTTGAATTTAAAGCCACCAATTGTATCTGGCTTACCCCAAATCCCATTTTATACTGCAAGGTTGGTGAGCTTGGATAAGGAGTGTCTCAACTGATAATTATGATTCTATGTGGACCCGGGCTTGTTCTTCAAAACATAATGAAGTATCCTTGCCATATACCCATAAAGACAAAGGAGCATCCAATCCCAGATTGCCAGGATAGCATTGAGTGGCCTTCAGATGTTTTCCACCGGCCTCAGCGGCCGGCAAAAATGTTGGGGATTGCCTGATATAGTTGGGGGAATAGTTTCAAAGCCTGGTTATATATTGCCTATATAGATAACAATACAGTATGATATTGCCATCTGATGCTTGACTTACATCTATGTGGGATCTACTGAAAACCCTTCTAAGTCGATATGGCCGCCAGGCCCACTAAGCTTATATATGAAGCTGGCCATTCCTCAATCACCGGGAAGAACTGTTCAGACATATATAGATATATAGGGTGAATCGCACCTGTTCACCAACTATAGCGCTTCAAAACCACATGATCTGAATTAAGTTTGTTTTGCATGGTGCTGAAAATGTTGCGTTTCCAAAAACAAGTTCAAAGCCTGCCAATTTGAACAATGACTTTCAATTGAAGATTGATCGAAATCAGCCAGAGACGAAATTGGTTTTACAGATAGGCCCCCTTGCATCATATAAAGACTAAATGACTAAATCTGGATGCACACACACACATATATATATATGTCCATTTACGAATACAAACCAACATGACGCCTGAGGAAAGATACATGTTGAGGATTTTACATGCCCGCGAAAAGTTATGAAAAGCAGTCCGGAAAAACACCGTCTAATGTTTTACTGCTGCATAATCCCCCAAATATTCTTGGCTTTGCAGCCTGGAAAAAACCCCGGGGCCCCCACGCATCTTGTGCGCCCTTCTCCATCAATATAAGTGCGCGCTGTCTGAAGCTTGAGGAAAGATCTGATGCGCTGAAGCTGCTTCCTGCATCGCGGTGGGATACATCATGGTGGTGGCGAAACTGGGTGGCACCAATTAATTTTCATTAAAACGATCGATGCACCTCTTCAGTGTTGTAGGCTGGAAGGCCAATTTGTAGAGAAATGGGCAAGTTCCAAAAAAGGTTACCTAAGCAACACAGGGGCAACATTTGCAACCAGGGATAAAATCTAGTGCAATCATTTTTTGAACCTACCAATTTGCAATCGTGTTACCGGCTTCAGTGTAGGTGCATTGAACGCACCCAGAGAAGTGTTCACACGCCGGGCACGGTGACGTTTCAGCAGTCTCCTAACTGGCCTATATTGAAAGAGCAGTGAACTTGTCGGCTGCTCCACTACATAGTATATGCCCTTCTTGTAGCACAACTCCAACCTAGCCAGTGGAAATCGCGGGGGTCCGGGGTCAGCTTTCGGAAAATGAAATTGGCAATATATATATATAATGTCAACCCCGGATTAATAAACCATGGTTTATTAATTAGGGGGGTACTCCTCCAATAGTCATAATATGATACTTAAATGGTACCCTCCCAATTAAACAATCTAGGGGTTTATTAATCCAGGGTTGACATTATATGCATTTTGGACTATACTGTGCCTCTGGGAAAAACATTTGAGGACAGGACAGGTAACATAGCCTTCTGGCTAGGCGATTTCCCTCCTTTGTTGACCTGAATTGTGTCCATCCTTTGGGTCGTAAAAGATGACGTCGTGTGGATCCTTGTGACCTTATATACGGGCTTCATGTCTGCAAGTGACCACATCGATCTGCATATATAGTCACCCCCATGTCTTGTTTGTTTCTTTAGCCCAAGGCTCATAAATATCCACGAAGCACAGGGAATCGCGAACCATGCGACTCCGGAAATCTTCATATGACGAACCTAAGCCCCAACTTGCACATACAATATATGCGTGTATATACGTACATCTTACATCTTCATTTATGTGGTTGTATCTATCACATATATGATGCATATATATATATAGTTATTTATTCATACGTGCCATATATACACGCAAAACATTCATACATATTTATACATACATATATATATATATGTAATATGTAAACATGTGTATCAGCCTCAACATTCCAAGATCTTATGTGCTACCAAGTTGCATAGTTCACCGCAAGGATGAACCCAAACTGTGTCAGGAGGTTCATCTTCTGGGAATAGGCCACCTCAATCATTGAACATATATTGAGGCACGCGCTATTTGGGTGTGTGTAAATGTCAATTTCAACCAGCAGCACCCTAGTTAACTATTTCAAATTGTTCATGATTTCGTAGGGGTTGAAACTGCTCCAGCTTTGGCACAAATTTGCCATCAAGGGGCGTCAAAAGCCCGGGAAGTCAACCCACAAAGCTGCGCTCCACTATGGAGAATATGTTCACCTGTCATACAGACCATATACTGGATTCGACCATGGAACACATCGATGAGACCACAACTGACGGGATGTACATGTTTGTGCGACATTGCTTTGCAAATATAAATGCGCTGGCCTGCACATATTTCCAAAAAATGGCTGGCTTGGCTCGGGTCCACTTCATCCAAGCCTCAAACCAGTTTGAACTTCTCAATCAGAAATGTTCAACTAGACGTAAATGTTTGTACTGTATGTTTTTTTTTCCAAGAAGCTTTTCACCAAACAGGTGAGCAATATGGCCAGTTGGCTAAACCGCATGGCTTCAGAACACACGGGCTCGCGATATAATACTGATACGAACTCTGGTTTACATATGTTTGGTGATGACACAACTTGATCATGTGAAAATGGACATATTTAAACTACCCCCAAATTTGGCTAGAGAGAGAAAGATATATATATATATATATAATATATATATATATATATATGGTATTAATTGGTAGTTCTCTATGTTTTTTCCACATGCATGCGTGAGCCCTTCAAGACTGCGCTGCGCAACAAGCTCAGGATCGGTTCGTGGCTGCTGGTGGTGCACGGCGATCACTCCTGGAATCCCTTGCAAGCTTGACGCATGGAGGACCAGCTGTGGGATTTGTTTTGACATCTCCAGCAAACCCCAATATGGTCTAAAGATCGGACGTCTGGACAGCTTTGCAATCCAGTTTCCCCAAA